TAAAATTTGACGATTACATGTTCTTACCTTAACATGAGGCTCCACTGGTACACCAACTTTCAGTTTGAATCTTTTCAAAGTTTTTTCATAAAACTTGTGTAGCATCACTTTTAGATCAACACATCAAAAAACTCAGATCAAAACTCCCAAATAATCTCATGGATCTTTTAAAATATCGAGACTAAAGTTAAAAAACGTACCACATGTTCTTCCACGATTCTTGATTGTCTTGGACGATTCAAGAGCCCAGAGTACTTCTCTACAAGGTTCTATGAAGATTTCGTAATGAAAACCTAGCTAGAATCGGACTCCTTGAGGTTGAATAAGAAATTGTCAGAGTAGTTACTTCTCTTTCTCTCACGGGTTTATTTTTCTCTCACATCCTTTATTTTTCTTTCAATTTTTTTCTTTCTTTTAATTTTTGTCAATTAACTCCATTATTTTAGTTAGTATAGGTTTCATAATAAGCTAGACACATAATGATTCTCAAAAGTTGAATTGGATCACTTTTCTAATTTATTATTATTATTTTTTATATCTTTTTGGAATTCTTGAAATTTTTCTCAAAGTCCTCATCTTGAAGGCCCGCCTCTAAAATTCTTAATAAAATTCAGGAACTTTAATCTGAAAAGATAAATTGAAAAACTCACTCTTCGTTAAAATTTGGGTGTATTTAATAAAACATCATCTTATTTAAATTTAATATTGTCTTTTGAAGGTGTGCCTCTTAGTAACTTTGTCAAGATTGACCAAGACCAATACAAGACTTTTGGGCTCAAATTGATCCTTTGAACTTTGTTTTTGTGTTTGAGAATGGAAATCAAAGTAATTCACATGGTGCTCTTAAAACCTTGTAATAAATGTGTTATCGTTTAAAACTAATTGAATTATATTCTATTTAGAACATTAGATTATTCCCAAATTCAAAGATATTAGTGTTATGTTTTCACAACACAAATTTTGAGGCCTTGACAACTCAAACGGTGACGAAAAGATGAAAGAAAAAGCAAATAAAAAAAATAAATAAAACTATGATTAAATTTAAATTACTTTTTTTCCATACTCATGGGGCAACCATTAGGAGTCAACTACCTATGTAGTCTGAAGTGCCGTTTCAGAACTTGCTTACGGTGTCGCGAGCTTAACCTCTGACTCGTCCATACATTAGAAACACACATCCTAACAACTACCTGTGTAATTCCAAGTCTATTCCCAAGACCGATTTACGGGATCACTCGTATAGTCTTAAGTTCCTCCTCAATACTTGTTTACAGAATCATGAGGTCACCTTTAACCCATTTCTGCACGCAATAGAAATACTCGAGTAGTCTTGGATGTTTTCGTGACACCGTTCACATTACTATTAATCCTATTAGGCTTTCTTAGTAATCCTTTTCGTTGAGGTTTACTAGGTTCTTAAGGCATCTAAGTGGTTTAGATCTCAACTCATGTCTCTAGGATGCTCAAGACCAGCTTCTCAAGGCTAATTCAATATTTGGGTGCTCTCAAGTCTAGACCTCTTATTCGCTCAGGATCCTAAGGTGCCTAGTATACTTGAAACGTACTGTCCTAGGTCAACATAAAAAATATTTCTAGCTCTAACGTTCTAATCTTAACTTGGTTCACTCATGCCTGCTTGATTAGAGAGAGATTTATATCGATCATTTAAACCACGGAATGCATAGACTAAATATTCATGTAAGCTTATTTGGGGGATATTCCTATCAATCAACTAAGTATGGAAAACATATTCTAAATATTCAAGCAAGCTCAACCAAGAGATAATATCCATAAATAACGAGAGTAACTAGTCACAATGTCCATTCCTCCATTCTAGCAAGCCAAAAGTATTAAATTCAGAATGAATCATAAATTCTTACCATAGGGTTATTTTGATAATTTTTTTAATATACATAACAATCATCCAGATTGCCTTTGGAGCTACCACACGTGCCTAAAGGAGTCTTACGTACAACTACGCGCGCTTTGTAGCACAATCGCACTCTTGCAGCATTGGGATAGCGATTGTGCGATACTTGTTCTAACCTAGAAAATAAGTCAGTCATGTTAAATTTAATATTGGTGTATGCTCGCGACATGGATCACGTTTAAAAAAAATGTTTAGAAGGTAGGAGCAAATAAATGCGTTGAAAATAATTTTAAAGAAATCAATGTTATAAGATAAAAGCGAGTAGGCAACAACGCCTTTGATAGCATATAACCCTGGTACAAAGAATTGACACCTATTCAAATTCTCCGGTAGTACATTTTGGGGCGTTTTACCCCTATGGGTGTAGATATAAAGCCTATCTAACATGAAAAAAGTAAAAAAAAAGTTTAGAACAAGCATACGCCCATCAACAAAAAGTCCTAGACAAGCATGACAAGGATATCTAACATTCGCCCATTGGCAACACGCCTTGAACAAGTATGACCGTGACATCCTCCCTCACTTAATTGATTGACGTCTTTGACAATCGACTCTTAACAAACTCAGTATTGTAGGATAAGGTTGACTTCAAGTCCATGGATGCACTTCTCACTCATCTTAGTATTAACAGTTCTCTTCCAATATGATAAGAACTATTTAAACCCACTTCTCGATTTGTTAACTCTTCCCATCTTCTTAGTTTGTGTCTGTTCTACTTTCTTGGCATGGGAATTTTTCGTCTTTGCATGAGGTCATACCACCTCCTTGTGCTTGATGTCTTTTTGGTCGAGATAGTAACGTTTCAAGTTACTAACGTGGACAAAAGGTCTAGTCTGCATATATGAGAGTAGTTGAATCCTATACGATACCTTCTCAACCTTGTGGATAACTTCGACTAATCGATAGTATTTTCGCACTAGTCTTTGGTTCTTGTTGCTTTGAACTCAGAGTTGATTCTTTGTAACTTTACGAGTCAAGACGTGTTTAATAAGGATTTTGGTATTAATTATTGAGTAAGACTCTTATTTATCACATTTTAGTTAGTTTTAGGGCGTATATTGGAATTAATCATCTTGTTTAGCTAGGTTAAGATGTTTATATGACCTAAGAATGTCATATGAATTGATATACGTGAGAATTAAGCATTGGAATATAGTTTTGAGGTGACTATCGAACAATTAGTAACTTCGGTAAAGACTGTTACTATTTTAGTTAGCTAATTGATTGATGTATAATGGTGCATGTCATGTGGCTCTTGCATGTACCATTTTTATTATGTGATGCTTATATGTTCTTTGTATTGTGATTGATGCATATCATGTATGCATGTGATGTCCATTACACTATATTATGAATGAAATGAAATGCCATGTGTGAAATGTTATGTCTTACCATGTAAAGTTATGTGATGGATTACGTGAAGTTTTTCATGTATACATGATGCATATATGAATATGTTATGAATGAAAGGAGAAATGAAATGAAATAAATGTTATGTTATGTTATGAATGAAAAGCATGGGACCTCATGCTTGTATGTATGTCATGTGCATCGGGATACCTCCCTATTATGTTATACTAGTACTGATGCATATCTTCGATACTTATAGTTGTCATGATATCACGTGGGCCTTTTCTTTTCTAATGCGTTCGTTGACGTGTAATATGTTGTGTCCGATCAAGTCAGCCCAGGGAATACGTATACAAGCACGTTTGGTTGGTCCATGTGTGCGTACATGGGCCGTGTGTGTAGAAGCACCATGCATCGAACTCTTCCCGAAACTAAAAAGTACCAAAGGTCATGTTACGTTTTTTAAATGATAGATCTCGTTCATATTTTGTGTGTGATTGCATTACTAATCCAAAGAGTGGGGTGACTTACTGAGTATTTCTTAAAATACTCAAGTCACGTGTTGCCTTATACTTTTTAGATAAAGTTAAAGTTAAAGCTCCCATGCATGGATAATGGCAAATGCTGGAAAAGCCATGGAAGTTGATATGAACCACGACAAGTCAGGATAGATAATGATAGAGCAGTAGTATTGAGTTTAATTAGTAGATATTAGGTGTTTTTAATGCAATTTGTTTTATATTAAAAAACAATGTTATTTTAATTTTTGTTTTGAATTGAATAGGTAATTCTATGACTTTATTTTAAAAGTATTTATTATGAATTTTCGCATCCATGATTAAAACATGCATGGGATGACGTCACTAATTAGCGTAAAAAAATTAGAAGCCTTACCCTACCTTTCAACACTTCTATTCCCTAGTCTTAAATGTCTTGTTACACTACCCTTCAACACTTCTATTCACTGGTCTTAAATGTCTTGTTAAGTCATTTCAATCCTTTATTTCTGCCATTTTATACTTCAGTTGCATATTTTGCATATTGTTTAAGTCATTCCCTTCTTTACTTCATTTTGTTGATGTTAAAAAACTTATCACTGTGATTGTATACACGAATATGTTTTGAGCTTTAAAGTGCTTTCTTTTCAAAATTTTAGACCACCAATGAAGTCACATGTGGATGATCTCCCGTAGATTTTAATTGTATCAATGCTCCACACTCTTGGTAGTGAGTGGAGAAATGTTGGGATCCCTTTGTTTCTACTTTTTTTTATAGATCTTTACATAAAATGTTATTAGGGTGACGGGCGGGTAGATGCACGACGTGGATTGAGGTGATGCTACGTGTCACGGTCATGCTCGTCCAGGGCGTGTTGCCCATGGCCGCATGCCTATGGCAAGCCAAACCCTTGTCATGTCTTTTCATTCTAGTGTTTTTACTTTTGTAGTTCTAGGGCGTATGACGCCTCAAAAATATATGTCTAGGCCTGCCAGACATGAAATGCCTCAAAATGTACTATAGGGGGATATGACTAGTTGTCAACTTCTCCCTACCCAAGGTTATATATGCTAAGCCGTTGTTATCTCTCTCTTGCTTGCTTATATAACGTCTCTTTCAAAAATCTCTCTTTCTAAAATCTCTCTCTACCCTCGTTTTCCAAAAACTTTCTTTTAAAACCGAGGCTAGAGGCTTGATCATACGTCGCTTGGCCGTAGGCGACGCAAGTACAAATTGGCTTAGCTCACTTGTCGTTGGAAAGTGAGTGCCGCACAATCGCTAGTCCACTGCCTTTAAACGTGCGATTGTGTCACTACGCAAGGCTAGATTGAAGTTTGGGCATGTGATGACACGTATTGGGCTAAGAAGACGATGGCTCGTGGAAGTTGGGCTTGGGTCAACTGGGTTGCGGGCATGTCTAAGGGCTAAAATGCTAGTGAGTTTGGATTTTCGAACCTAGCTTCAGATACGAACATATTGTTTGGGTTCTGCTAATTTCCGAGGCTGAGGTTTAGTTTTAAGCTTGAATTTCGGCTATTTCAACGCTTTCCTTTGTTTTTTGCATTTGCTTCTAGTTTTTGGACCTATTTTTGGTCGATTTTGGCTAAGTTTTAATTATTCTTGCATAGTAATTTACTAAAACATTAGCCAACTTTTATATTTAGTTTTATTTTTTTTCATAATTATCAATATTTCTCTAACCCGAAGATTGAAAATACAGTCAAGTCAACCATTAGAGTAGACGTGTCATAATTTTGATATCAAAGTTCTAATCCAAAGATCTAAATTCCTTTAACATGTAGACCGTACTCCATAGCAATTTCTAATCTTAAATTAACATCACATTAACACATGCTTAATTCTTGAAATTTTATTTTTTAGTTTAAAACGTACGTTATTCGATATGAGATCTAAAAAAATGCATGGGATTTACACCGTTGACGAAGAGGAAGGTTTGAGAACAAGACTTTACTACATTGGGTCCTTTCATGTCGATCTATTCCCCCTTGTGTTGAAACATTGTTGCTCGTGACCAACACATGGCCGGTCAACTATTCTAAATCTTGCGTCAAATGATTTTATGATAAATGGAAATGTAAAATATTTGCATAAATATGAGAATCAGTATTTTGTTTACACACCCGGAATACATTTTGAGAATATATCAAAGTTCCAATTAGTTCTCTTACACGCCACGTCGCAAAACGAAGTTGATTGAAAAATTCTACAAGGGAGAAGAACAAATATCGTTATAAGTTATGCTTCATTCCCATCACTAGAAGAAGGGCTTGATGACCTCCGACCTTGTGGTTAACAGCCACACGTTCTAACCAATTGAGCGATTCCAGTGAATCATTTGTTACAATCCAAGACCACCATTAGTTGATATTGTCTGCTTTCGTTCGTTACGTATCGTTGTCACCCTCATGGTTTTAAACTGCATCTATTAAGGATAGTTTTTCAGACCCTTGTAAGAAATATTTCTTCACCTCTCCAATCGATGTGAGATCTCACAATCCACCCCTTTTGAGTGCCAAGCGTCCTCATTGGCGCATCGCTTGGTGACTAGCTCTCATATCATTCGTAAAAGTACAAGCGCACTGCTAGCAGACATTGTCCATTTTTTCGATTAGGTATTGCCATTAGCCTCATAGTTTTAAAACGCGCCTATTAGAGAGATTTTTGCCGCTTATTAGGATTGTTTCGTTCCTCTCTCCAACCGATAGTAGATATTATCTATTTTAATCTATTACATTTCGTCGTCAACTTCATAGTTTTGAAACGCGTCTACTATAGAGACATTTACACACCCATATACGGAATGTTAAACTCCCCTCTCAAATCAATCCGGGAACACACCATTATGGTCCTCGTGAGAGGGTATGGGTTCAAATCTCACTTCTGACATTTCATATTATTTTGAGGCAAAACGCGAGCCAAAATGGATAAAATCTACTACTGTTTCTGGTCTTGGGTCGAAAGTCTGCCTCTTGTGCCCTATTAGATTGCTACTTTTTGGGTTATCTAAAAAAATTATTTAAAATGGATTTTTGAAACCATCATAAAGATTAAAAAGTGAAAGAATGTGAATTAAAATTTTCAATAGTATTTTTTATTTTTGACTATTTTCTTTTATAGTGTTCTATTTTTTCCTTTCCATATCATTTTGAAATTCCACCGGTAAGACTCTCAATAAAATGTCACTTAAAAAAAATTAGAAAAATTAATTATGGTTAGGGTTTTAGCCTTACAAAAATGATGTTAGATTATTTTTATCTTCTAAAATGGTTGTACTATACTTTTGGTGAAGGTATCAACCACGGATAGAATCAAGCTTGATGATATGAAAAATTAAAATCGAAGGAAAATGACACCTCCAACATCCATTTGTGAAAATGGAGGTTGAACAACCATGGTTGTTGGTTGAATTGAATTGGACCAGTTGGACTATTTTTATCTCTTGTAATTCACTTTGACATCTTTGTTTTACCATTTTTTTTTTTTAGTTAAATGCAACTATTAGAAACTAATTGGAAGATTTTGGAAAATTTAAGAGGAAAATAGTTGAATCAAACTTTAATTTATATATGTTATATGGTTGAATGGACGAATTTAACGTGTTAAACAAGGGTTTATATAAATTTAATTGAAGTTTATGTTTGAGTTATATTTAAAAATTAGACTTGAAAATTTATTTATTTAAGCATGTAGTAACTATTAGCATATAGAACTATCCTAAACTCCTCATGTGGTTGAATGATACTTGATATATAGTTGAACTAATTGATATTGATTTGATAAATTACATTACTGCTTTAAATAAGTGAAATATCAATGTATGATTGAATGATAGCATGAGATCTCAAATCGTTAGAGAGGGGAACAAAGCTGTAAGGACCGAGTTGACTCGATAACTCTAAAAGGTGGGTAATTTTTTTCATGAAATAAAACAAAGGAATTTAAAACATTATATTTACGTTGTATCAAAATAAAGTTTATACATAAGTATTTAAAACACAACCTACTACTTAAAACACAAAATAAGGAACAGACACAAAACATTTTAAGACAAAAGGGTTGAGGATGACGGGTGAGATTAGTCTATGGCACTTGCTCCCGACCTCAATTAGCTCCTTATTACCCGAAAAAAAATGGAGAATAAGGAATGAGTACAAAGACTTAGTAAGTAGTCTCCTTGTAGTCTCTTAATCGTGTCCTTGATATGCTAGGGTACCACATTCTTTATTCTTGTCTTGTTCTTCTTCTTGTTCTTGTTTTTGTTCTTGTGGTAAGTACTTATGCCCTCTACTTCTTGTTCTTTACTTGGGGTTCTTATCATGATCTATCCTGAGGACCTTGGTCTCTTGATTTTTAAACCTTAGTTATTCTTTAAGTGCCTGAGTACCATGGTTCTTAGTTTTTGTCCTTGGAACCAGGATCTTGATTCATGTTCTAGTCCTTGATCTTTCTCTTATTCTTGGTACTTTCTTGGTTCTTGATTCGTTCTCCAATACACTCCCCCTAAGATTTACGGCACTAGCCATGCACTTGACCATCCTATGTCCAAGGCTTCATGTGTTCCAAGCGACACAACCTTAACCTACGTCCAAGGCTTCATGTGTTCCAAGTGACATAGTCTTAACCCGCATCTTAGGTCTTGCCCTTTGATACAGTCTTCTAACGTATGCCCAAGGCTTCCTGCGTTCCAAGCGACATAGTTTGAAGACCTACATCCAAGGCATCTTACGTTCCAAGCGATGTAGTCAAATCCTACATCAAGGGCTTGCTTTATCATAGTTTGAATACCTACGATCAAGGCTTCATGCGTTCCAAGCAGCATAGTCAAAGTCATGAGCATGTTGTACCGTGGGAGGTCTTAGGAGGTTCTTGATTCTTAGTTAAGGTAACTTACTCTCTTCTTGTTCCTCCGTGGCCCTAGACTATTCCCCATGATAGACCATAAAGCTCACATGGTTGGTGCATACATGAACATGGCATCCTGCAAATCTTTTGGGTACCCATAGCATGGTACAGGACATCTCATCTAGGTGAATGAAACTTGAGGCCAAACATGACATCCTGCAAAGGAAACATGGTGCAGGGCATCCCACCTAGAAGAGGAATTCTTAGGCCTCAGAAAGCACTGCTTAGTGGAGGTCACGGGTCATTATGTAAATAATTAGAGTATTATGTAGCATTCTTGAGTTTCTGAGTTTGGGGACCTTGGTCCCTCGTCCTTGAGTGGTGCTTAGTAAAGCTTGTGAGGTGTTGTTCTTGGTTCTGAATCTTGTAAGTTTTTAAGGTCCATAATTCATTGAGGCCTAAGTTGTAACTTTCATTTGTAACCATATGAACCCATCTTAGCGTGAGTCGTTCTAGAAGGTCTTAGATTCCTAGGAGTTCTTGGGAGGGTTCTAGAAGAGTCTTGATTCTTGTGGTGTTTCTCGGGTCCTGACTTGGTTTAGGATCCAAACTTTCTCCAATCAACTTCAAAACTCAAACATATCTTCATGTCCTTAAGAATAGTCCTTATAAGAAGTATCAAATCATTTGGAGCACGTATAGACCTTGAATTATCATAAGTAGTCCTAGGGGCATTTTAGTCATTTTACCCCTAATTCTTGGTTTTGCTACTCAACAAATTCCAATGGTTTTAAAACTTCACCATATCATCAAGCATCATAAAATAAGATCCACTTCAAAGTTATATAGTATTTGGAGGTCATCTAGGTCATGAACCATAGGTAGATAAGCTTAGGGGCATTATGGTCATTTTGGAACGTTTCTTGGTTTACCTACTTATCCTTATCCAATGACTACCAAATTTCATATATAACCTCAACATGCTATAATATGCTAAGGATTAAAGTTTCATAGGCAGCAGAGTTCATTTAGTGAGTTATTTATTGTTACCTAATTCTCAAGGAATTTGATCAGTTTAAGGCCTTAACTCATAGTTCTTTGAGCTTTCTTTCATACATTCTTAATTCATACTTGGTTTAGGGTTCATATGGAAATCCAAGTCATTCCTACAAGTATTTCTTAACAAAAAGTCTAAGGTGGCTACTTACTTCATCGTCGACGTTCGGGACCTCCGTTCTTGAGCTTCCAGTATCCGAATTACCTCAAATTTCCTTACACAAACTCCTTATTGTGTCTAGTTTCTAGAACCATAAAGATTTTTGTGAGAACCAGCCTGAACCAGCCATGTCATCGTCTTCTTCCCCCAGACGGGAAGAAGACACACGCGACATATAGCGCCCCCGTCTGAAACTCGCCCTCCACAGTTCTGATCACGTCGTTTTTTCCCTCGATTTCTTCATGAAACATAAAGATGGTGTTACAAGGAAGAGCTAGGAATTGAGTTCATATATTCTCATGTATTGTAGCCTAAGATATTCACTTCCAAAGTCCGTCCAAA